ACCATTCAGTTTTTGTTAGCTGCCTCTTTCACTTACATACCATTTGCAATCAATTAGTTTGATTTTGAAGAATTAAATTTTGTAAACCGAACAAATTAATTAAACAAATAACACATATCAAGCAAACAACTATTCTGACTATGTTTATGAAAAATTTGCTATTAGACATAGTTTTATATTATTTCATTTTGTTTAAATTTACCAAATACATTATACAAATTCCATAAAAAGTAAAAAGCATATAAGATGTAATAAATAAATGCACTTATGCTTCGTCTTTTTCATGGCGTCGATGGTATATATCAGGTTTAATGTAATTTTTAAATATATTAAGTTATTGTAGGGTATTTTGGTATTAGACAAAGTTGTAGATTATTAAATTTTAAACAAATTTGCCAAATACACTATTTATATTCCCCCGATATTTCCGAAATTATACAAGATAAAATAAATAAATACACTTACGCATCACCATTTTTATGACACAGTCATTTTTATTTCAGGAGTTCAGGTTCATTCTAATTTTAGGTATACCAAGTTATTATAGGGTCTTTTGCTATTAGATAAAGTTATGTTATTTAATTTTTGATAAATTTTGCATTCACACCAGTTTTAAAAGTTATACAAGACACAATAAGTTCGTACACTTGCACTAAATACCTCATTTTTATGAAACATCATCGAGAATATACATACATATTTCGGTTTCAAAGTAATTTTTGAGTATACTGAAATGTTTTACGGTCTTTTGTCGTTAGACAAAGTTATAGATTATGCAATTTGAACAAATTTACCAAATATACTAATTATTTTTTCCAAATTATTCTGAAATTATATAAGATTTAACAAATATAAGCACTTACGCTAAATCCTGCTTTGAAAATTGAACAAAATTTTCTAAAAATTTAATAAAAATTTAATTAAAATTTATACATTTCTATAATGCAAACTCCACTTTAAAATTTAGTATCAAATGTGCTTTATTATCAAAGATGTTTTATAATAATAGCGAATATTTTTTTGCTTTTTTTCTAAATGAGATTTTGGATAATAATTGATATCTGTTATAACTATTGATACGTGTTTAAAGAATTTCTATAGGTGCTATAGGTTAAAAAAACGTCCTCGCCGCTTTTCCTGGATAACTCTGACATACACAAATTATTCACTATATATACATATATATATATATATATATATAATATCTATACAATTTAGTTCTGCGCATCAACATCAACTTGTTGCAGCAAAATCGAAAGCTTTCGTTCAGTACTCTCTCAGAGTTCGAACAAGGAACATCTCGTGTAAAAATATTATAAAAATAATAATATATATTGAATAAATGTACAAAATAAATGTAAACTAATAATAAATAGTACAATAAATTATTTACATTAATCAATAATAAAAAAATAATTTGTAGTAATATATAAATAAAATAATTTAAATTATCTGGTTTTACTCAACTGAATATATAAAAGATAAATAAATTTTGAACTAGATTTTTAAAATATTAATAATATATGTATTAAGATTTTTTTAAATAATTTATATATTTGTTAATATAGTATTATATGAAATTTTTCAAAATATATATTTAAATTTTGCTAAAATTAATTTTTATAAATTTATATATTAAAAAAAGGATTATTTAAAAAGTGTTGCAGCATTTAATGTATTATATGTGTTCTGCTTTGAAAAATACAATTTGGAAAAGTAAGTACTAGGAATATATATACATATACATATATATATATATATATATATATATATATATATATTTCCCCTATACCCTATATTTCTTCTCTGCTATAATTTATTTTTTCTGAGTCTCTAATAAAATAAATTACATCAATTGAGAATTATTATGTTACATGAAAATTTCGGCTGTTTCCAGTTTTGCACGTGGAAACATACATATATTGATGTTTGTACAATAATTATTTTTTAACAGTTTCACAAAACCATTATTGGAATTTTTGACACCCAAATTGGCGGTATATGACTTAAATAAATAAATTGTAAACAAAATACAAGCGTCATAAAAAATAAATTAAGTTTAAAAATCATGTCTAAAAATCTCCAAAAATTTTACAATATTTATAGTGGATAAAATTAATATTTAAATGTTTGATAAACAATATATTTATATATATATATATATATATATATGTATGTATATTTATATATACATATACATATTAATTTGTTTATACATTTATTTAAATTGCACATACAAATTTAATTTAGACCTCTCCACCGTTTTGTATTTTTAATTTTGATTTTTTCATAATATAACAAATTTGAAAATATAAATACCATCTAATAATTCAAAGGAAATTAACTAAATATTCATTAATTATTTTTTTAGTTAAATTATTATTTTTCATTTCAATATTATTAACAATGAAATACTTAGACATGAATTGACTTGTTCTCAAAAATTGAAACAAAATTTACTAAATATTTATGATATCTATATAGTTTTTTTAATTTTTTTTAAAAATATATTATAAATTTATTATGATGAATGTATGCAAAAAGTAACTTTAATTTACTGAAAACTACACTTTATGAGTTATTTGTTAAGTTAAATTATTTTTTTTTATTTTAATATTATTACCAATAAAATACTTAGATATAAATTAACCTGTTCTTAATAATTGAAACAAAATTTATTATATATTTTTAATATCTCTATAGTTCTTTTCGTTAAGTTTAGTATTATTAATTGATGCAGAAATTAATTTTAATTTACTAAAACTACACTAAAACAATAAAAATGTATAAACAAAATTTATTAATAATTTATTTAAATAAAATTGTTATTTAAATTTTATTTAACATTTAAATATTTATATAAGAAATAAGCGTGTAAAAATATAAAGAATAATGAATTAATAAAAGTAATATATTTATAATAATAAATGCATTATTTGTTTAAATAAAATATATAATTATTTGATTATTATTCTTCAATGATTTACATAAATAAAAAAAATACTTTGATGTATGCAAATTGTTTTCATTTGCATATTCATATTTATAAGTCCGTTAATTGTTGTTTTCGCTTTTAATATATGTTGATACATATATTAAATGAAAAGTAATAATTATTTAAATAATTATACTAATATATATATATATATATATAATTATCTAATATTTATAATAATTTTAAAACGCAGTTACTGTTTTTTTGTACAACGAGACTTACTTGAATGCGTTTAATTAAATAATTAATTTTTATTATTAGTTTATTGGCCTTCTAAAGCAATAAATTACATCAGCCAATTTAAATATATATATTATGTAAATAATTTACATAACTTATATAAAATTTTAATTGAATATTTTCTCTATTATTTATTATGAATAAAATAAATTGTCGCATTGCATTGACAACACCATTTATATGAATTAAAAATTATTAATTATTAATTATGAATGAATTAAAAAAATATCGATTTCGTACGTGAAACCGGTACTTAGCTTATTGAAACGGAAGATTTGAAATAAAATATCGTCAATAAAATTATTTGAAAATATAACTAATGATTAACAACTCGAATATAACTTATTGTATGAATCTCTTAAAATGAAGTCAAATTTAACAAAGTTCAGTAGGATGATATGTGGATGATATATCATCTGCAAAAATATTTTAAATCGCGGTATTAAATATTTCGCTGAAAATAGTTATTAAATTGAAAAACTATTGGCTAGGAAAGAAAGTTAATGAACCACTTTATGTAAAATTTAAACCATTAATTCCAAATATGCAATATTAAACGAGTAATAGAACTTTGAAATAAAGCTTTGCAAAATAGTGAAAACTGACTGGGATAACAGATATATAAATATTAATCCTTTGTACTATATGAAATACAACTCTACAAAGGGATAATTTATAAATTAATTAAATTTAAAAAAAAAATCACTTACCTAAAGCAATTTTTCATCTTTTCATAAATGTTTTACATTTTTCGCGTTGGATCTGCGAACATCTCCAAAATTCTGAAAATAAATAAAAATAAAAATAAATAAATCGAAATATAAATCATAAATCAATTTATCTCAATCAAAGATTCTAAAATTATTGACAACTGTCATTTAAGGAGTAATTTATTTTTAAATTCCTAACTGTCAAAATTAATTGAAATATCTAAACTTTTAATAATCCAAATATGAAATGAAATTTTTAATATAGCCTATAATCTAAGTTGGATATAAATGCACACGGTAAATTAATCAAGTTTAAAATCGGTTTAGCAGTTTAAGAGTACATTCAAAACAATATATATTAGTTACAACACTTATAACTCACGAACGGCTGAACCGATTTAGCTGAAATTGGCAGAGAGGTAGTTTAGAGCCAAAAAAAAAGACATAGGATACTTTTTATCCTGTTGTTCATTCAAATTCAAAATTAATTAATCATAAACTATCCATTTAGTTTATTCAATCTATGATTCTATCAATGATTTTATCCATGACATTTACTTTCAATTGTCAACTGTCATTCGGTGTTTTTGTTTTGATACAAATATATGAATATGCATTTTTTAATCATTACTTTTGGAAAATTATTACGTGAATAATATATATTTTTTAATCACCACGGAAAATTATTACGAAGTGGCAAATAAATTAATTTTTAATAATAGCAAGCGATGCCAGATGGACGATAGAGAAATTTATTTCTTGAAAATGGGAATGTAATCATTCATATACTTAGGTATTTATGTATATTTGTTTATACGTATTTAAATAGAATATTTGACATGTTTATAATCAGCAATAATATTTTGAAATATAGTTTCTTAACATAACCTTGAAATTTGAAATAAAAATGTTATATTATTAATTTTTATATTAATAGGTAATATAAATATAATAGTTATATTAATTGTTTTTAATTTATATTTTGTTGGTATTTTATTTTTATTTTTATTTTTTCCAATTAAAAAAAACTGCTTATTTATTGCCATTAAGGCGAAACAAATTTTGCCGGGTCAGCTAATATATATATATATATATATATATATATATACCATGGATTATTAAAATTTTCCAATTTAACACTAAGATCAACTAATTGTAAGTACTATTTACTATTTTATTTTTTCTTTTCACTCCAATTCAATTGTTTTAGTTTTTAATTTTATTTTTAGTTTCCACTGAATGAAGGCTAGGATTATAGCCGAAACGTATGGATTTAAAATAAATTTTTGAAAGAAATTCATGTTTTTTATTGATGTTATGCCCGATTATTAGACTTTGTTAATATATATATATATATATATATATATATATATATATATATATATATGAGTGTGTGTGTGTGTGTGCGTGCGTGTGTGTACATTTTACCTTTATTCAGACAAAAAGATTTAAAACTATAAAAACAGATTCTGCAAGTTTTCTAAGATTTTTTTCTTTATATTTAAAATATTGAAAGTATGATTTAAACTAATAATATGTTCCGAAAACATAGTCTTGTATTGATTAGAATTTTCTGAACTAGAGACATATTGATTCTCTTCTAAATATATTGTAAATTTTTACCAATATAACATCAATTGCAATCGTTACAATTCACTTTGTAAATAAAATCAGTATTACGCTCATTAGGAGTTTAAGACTTAAAACTTATAAAAATCTTTATTTAACAGCAACTTTTTTTAAAAAATGTGATAAAACTGCCTTGATATGGTAATACAAAAGTAAGTAAATAAGTAAAAGTAAGTAATACAAAATGAAAATTCCTTTATATTTTTGACTTAGTCATCTGACAACTATATATCTCAATTTATAGTACGTGGAATACATAATCATGTCATAGTTCATCTATATTATTATTTTTGTATTACTGTTATTATTTTATTTTATTTTAACTTTGTTTCATTTTATATTCAATTTATTGTATTTTTTGTATCATTTCTTTTTAGAACTACTTATCAATTTTGTAAAAAATCATTGCCTTCTAGAAATATATATATATATATACATATATATATATATATATATATATATATATATATGTATATATAAGCGGTTTGTGGGAAACGCATTTTCTCTTTACAAACGATTTTGAACTGCATTTTGTCTTTTGTCTTCGGTTTTTTTCTATTTTCCCTTACAAAATATTCACCACAATTCTTTGTGATGTCCCTCATAGCGGTTTTATCTTTTTATTTTAGTATTTATCGATTTGAATTTAATATAGTCTATATTAGACGTATCTGCAAATAGATTCAGAAATAGAAATAAAAATATTACGTAATTCGTTTAGCAAAAAAAGAAAAAAAATTGTTTTCTGAAAATACAAATTCGTATGTATATACAGTGTAAGGGGTTGTGAATTCAAATTTCGTTCAGAACAACCTGATATCGTGCAGTAGCAATGTCCATGTTGTCTTAAGGATGCAGATTAAAAATATGTTTTTTTTAAATAAGCTCAAGGGAAAACAGTCACACTTTTTTTAATCGAGTCGGAGTTCCACTTTGTTCACTTTAGTTCACGGAGATTGTCAAAAATGCTTGATAAGTCAATAAAATATAGATTTTTTTCTACTTTCTATGCCTACGTTTCACAGTTTTCTCTATAAATAAATAAAACTGACTTTTCCCCATGTATATGTAGTATTTTTACAATGTCCATAAAAAAAGTGTGGACTCTAAATAGGAAAAATATCGCTTATACACACCGAAGC